TGGGACCTAACTGGGAAGGGCCTTATAAAGTGATATCTATCGGAGGCGCCGGGTCATACAGATTAGAAGATATGGAGGGAAAACTTGTAACGCGACCGTGGAATGTGATGAATCTAAAGAAATACTATTTTTGAGTATTTATCTCCCTCAATGCTTGCCAACGACAAAGATAAAGGGCAAGGCCCTGGGGACAGAGTACAAAGACTCTCGTCCCCGAAACAAACACAGGAACAAGCCTCCTGGAAGGGCAAGGCCCTGGGGACAGAGTACAAAGACTCTCGCTCCCGAAACAAACACATGAGCAAGCCTCCTGGAAGGGCAAGACCCTGGGGACAGAGTTCAAAGACTCTCGCCCCCGAAACAAACGCAGGATCAAGCCTCCTGGAAGGGCAAGGCCCTTGGAACAGAGTACAAAGACTCTCGCCCCCGAAACAAACACAAGAGCAAGTCTCTTAGAAGGGCAAGGCCCTGGGGACAGAGTACAAAGACTCTCGGCCCTGAAATAAACACAGGAGCAAGCCTCCTAGGACAGTTCAAGGATTCCTACGAAAGTATACGCAAGAAAGAATTAAGTACTCCAAAAGAAAAGATTCAATTCAAAAAGAGGGGTTTTGCGTCCCCAAAAGCTACAAGGGAAAAAGTACAGATCAAAAAGAAAAAAGGGCTTTCATCGGGCCCCAAACATCTCCATAACATCGCCCAAGGGAGAATCAGCGTAAAGAGGTTGAGCATCTTTGGAAACAGGCGGAATGGGAGGCACTGCGGCAACGGGGGGAGTCTGAGGAATATTTTGTTCAGGGGGCCGATCCGGCAGGGTCTCGTCGGACAAATCCACGATTGTCAGCTCGGGCGGATCAACCAAAACTTGCAACGACGTTAAATTGGCGCCCTCGGCAACAATCTCGGCTTCGGTCTGTACCATCTCCGCCGAGGGCACGTACTTGTGCATCTGAAAAAGCGGGGAGTCTGACGGGATCTCAGCAGACTGGAGCGCCTCGTCCCACCCCTTCTTGAAGAACTCCTTGCTAGTTTCCTCAAGAGCGGGGAGCACGTCATCGGCGAACTCTTCTCGGAGTTGCTCCTCGGATTTCCTGTTCAGTACCTCATCCCTGATCCTGTCCAGCTCCTGGGTCAGAGCCAGACAGCTTTCCTCTGAACCAACAGCCCTCTCCTCTGCCGCAGAGAGCCGCTGCGTCTGTTCTGTTATCCTCCTCTCAGCGTCGGCAAGGGTTGCACTTAGCTTTTCAGCGCCGACCTTCGCCAACTCGGCCTCCTTGAGGAGTTGCTCGATTTGAGTAGCTAGCCCCACGAGGGTGGAATCCCTTGCAGCGACGTCCTCCTTAGCACTGGCAATGGCTCCCTCGGCTTCTTCCTTCTGCTCTCGAACCCGCTGAAGGTCCATCCTAGTCCCATGGCACCGCGCCGCTATTATGGAAATCTGTTGGGTGGCCTGCAAATGAAAGAGCATGTCACTAAAATGAAAATTGGGGCTAAAAGAGACTGAAGCAAAGATGAACTTACCACCAAGGAATTTTGGATGATAGAGCGAAACAACACGTTTGTTGATCGCCCCCTATGAGCCGCCATGTCGGCCTCGAAATGCAGCGTCTCACTCACTGCATTGGCGACACGAGGGTCCTACAAAATGGAATTGTCGACCCTGATCACTCGGTCCATGTGATCAGTGGCTCGAGGATTCCACTCCGCAGCTTCCATTGTCTACGAAAGAGGAGGAGTCTGCTGTCGCCGTTGTTGCTGTTGCTGTTGCTGTTGTTGTTGTTGCTGAGGAGCATGAGGTAACTCACAACCTCTCCCACTTTGCTGCTAAGCGGGGGAGGCCCTGGATCCCCTCCCAAGGCCGTCGTGCCTATATTTGACCCTTCTCTTCTCCTCTACCTGAGGATCTCGATCACGCATCTGACCCCGACTGACGACTCTTGAGAAGGGGGTGGAGCTGGTCCCTGTAGATGGGGTCCTACCGGTCGATTCTCGTCCCCTCCCAGCAGCGAGGGCTTGCCTCTGCCTAAGGAACCCTAGATCAATACGGGGCGTGCTAGACATAGCTACCTCGAGGGCGTCCTCGACATCGAGAGATTGTAGGATTTGGAAGTCCGGCCAGGAATCTCTCCCCGAAGTCCCCACCTCGGCGTGCGAAGGAACCAAGTCCTCTTTGACCCCGAGCTCTTCAACTTCACCCTCAACTTCAGCTTCCGAGGCCCGATCAGGGTCTTCTTCCAAGTTCTCCTCAACTTCTTGCCCCGCCGCCTGATCAAAGAGTTCAGACCACCGAGAAGGCTCGAAAGGCTGGGGAAGCTGCGAAAACTTTTTATACCCAGGGGTGTAATTCAGAAGGATGTGGGCAGCCCAGCCGAGCCCGTCATCGCCAGTAAAACTCCAAACAGTGACTAAGTTAACAAAATCCACCGACGATCGGGGTGGAGGTGCTGTTTCCCAAGGGGAGATGTCTGCACAAGCAAAAAATAGGGCAATGGGTCATGAGCATGTAGAAAATCTCAGAAACAAAATAATAAGACCCAAAGGAACCGACGTACTTGTCGTTCTCCATTCCAATGGACATAATAAGCCGTCATACTCGGGACCGACACCTCTCTGCCAAGATCCCCTGAAGATGAGTAGGTCATCCTTGTACCCCTTGTCCGAGTTAGGAAGGTGAGTTACGAGGTACATAGATGGGTCCCTGCCTTTGAGGTAGAAGTGTTGTTGAGGCGTAACTCTTAAAAGGGAATAACAAAAAAGGATATCGTTCAGCCCGACGTTTACCCCAAGACGCCTAAGGAGCTCTAGGACCCCCATAATTATCCTAAAGACATTAAGGCAACACTGCCCCGGAAAGAGGTGGAAATGAGAGAGGAACTAGAGAAGCAGAGGGGGCAAAGGGAACCTAATTCCGCCTTCTATAATGACTTTAATATAAAAAGGCATTGCATCCTCGGTACCGAGGGTACGAGGGTGCACAGTCGCGTCATAATCCTCTACCTCTACATTCGATGGGACGCCGCTCGGAATTGAAAGACAATAAATGTCTCTAAGGCTGGGCATTTATTGCATCCTCCCCGAGTGGAGCTCATTGGACAGTCGGCAGCCCGATGACACAGCATTGATTGCTCGGGACTCCGAGCAGTTAAAGAAGAGAAGACATTCCTCATCAGAATCAGTGCGCACACTGCCTGTACCTAATGATCACCTACTGACAACACTGACAGCAATCATGAGCTTTTGAGGTATAAATACTCCTCGCAAAAGGCAAGACGGTAGGCAACAAAAACTCTTTACTACGAAATATACTCAGTGCTTTCTTTTTCCTCTCCCTTTCAAAAACTGACTTGATCGTCGGAGGGGATAAGCCAGAAAACACTCCGGCGCCCTTCTAACTTGTTCTTCTTTGTTCTAGGAACCTTTCTCCAGCCTTACTGGATCGTTCCTTCAATCCACAAGGGTCTCCCGTTGCCGTTCCAGGTTACCACCGGACCTCACAGGCTGTCCCAAATAGCGCGGTTGACCACTCAACTGACTCACTCGAGTTCACCAATGAAGATATCTATTCTCGTTTTTTATATTGTGCAAGATTCAGCACGCACAATAAATGCTTGGATGAGTTTGATGACCAAAAGAAAAAAGTAGTGAATTGTTGTAAAGGCGGCTGACAAACATGACATATAATAAAGGTAATGTACTGAATCTCAATTAATTTTCAAAATCATATCGTGTGAAAGTAATATGTATGATGAGAATTAATCATGTTATAAATGAGGAAATAATTTAATAATGACATTGTCAAGAAGACTAAATTTCGTATTTGTTAAAATCAATTTTAGGATTTTTCAATCCAAACTATTGACTACAATGGTAGTATATGAGAGTTGATTTTGATAGGTTCTGTACAACTGAAAATTTTCCATTAATGACAACTTGGGCAACAATGTCAATGAAAAATACTTGATCCACTGTTTGGCCTCTCAGTATAGCATCTTAGCCACGTGCCCAATCACTATAGGGGGTATGATGACCCACATGTTTACCACACTACGAAACACGGATATGGATACAAGATGCAGATACGATACAATACGATATGCAAACGGCGATACGACAATCTAAAAAAATAGGATACGAGTACGGTTAAGATACGACTATAATAAAATATATTTAATATTTTTATTATTTTGAACCAACTTAATATTTATATATTTTGGTAATTCTTTAATACAATAAGAAAAATTAGTAATTCTGTTTAGTTTCAAGAAAATATATATCGTATCACTGTAGTATATTCACAAAGTGAAGTGATTAATTAAATGAATCAAAACTAATATTTATCGCGTCAGGTTTATTTAGAAGTAATTTTTGTTCAGATTATAACATAGTAGATTTTTTTTATACTCTTTTGACATGTAATTGTAGATAATATTTAAAAAATACTCATGTGCCTTTGAAGTAGTATAAATTTTTGTTAATGTATTGTATGATATGTGAATTTGAAAGAAAATATTAAAAATTTAACTCAAAAATTATATATGTTGCTTGAATACAAAAATATCCGTGAAGTATCATAATATTTAATTATTATCGAATACTTAAGAGATGTATCCGATACGTATCCTAGAATATCTGACGAGTATCGTATCCGATACGGGTACATCAACCTCAACGAAATATCCGTGCTTCATAGATACCACATATGTTGTATGTTCAACATTCAAATCCACATGTGTATATGTTGCATGTTTGTGATGACGAATATCACTATCATAATGAAGATTTACTCCTTCTTTGGCTCTAGAAGCTGCAAGAAACATGAATTCCTTTGCCTCTAAGGTACAACAGGTCTAGGAAAACTTCTAAGTTTCTATTCTCATGGTTATAAACGAAGGAACATCGGGGAATATTTTTTATCTACAATATAGTATTGAAGTGGTCTCCAATGGTATTGATTTTGCTAAAATTTGAAAGGAATTAAACTTCTCTGCATTCTTTGTCAGGTAAACTATATAAATGCACATGCTACTTCCACTATGATTGGTGACCTGGCTGAGGTGCATGCTATTAAAACGGTTTTCAAGAAGACATCAGGGATCAAAGTGAATGGAACTAAGGTTAGCTCATTGTATCTCTTTTATTTGCTTTTGTGCAGCACCATTTTCTCTATAATTCTAGCTTTGAGGAGACTATATACTAATATTGCTCGCTCTTACAAGAAAAACATGTATATATATAGATATTGTTTTCTTGCAATCGTCGATTAATGTTTATTTCTTATCATGTTTCAGTCTATAATAGGGCATGGGCTTGGTGCTGCTGGGGGTCTGGAAGCTATCGGTATACTGAAAGCCACTACAACAGGGTGGCTACACCCTACTATAAATCAATTTGTATGTGCTGCTTTGGATTTTACAGAGAATTGATTATATCATGGATAGTTGCAAACATTCTAAATTTACTTTCATAATTTTTGGTCTTTTCAGCAATGGATGATTACCCGTTTTTACCTGATAGTCCCATGGTTTTATTATATGCAGACATTTTGTACCTGTTAACGACTTTTGTTGAATAAATGCAGAATCCCGAGCCTTCGATTGAGTTCAACACTGTCCCAAACAAAAAACAGCAGCATGAAGTGAATGTTGGTAAGAAGTTTTGCCTTTTCTTCCCTGTTCTCCTCCTCCGACCCCAACCCCTTAGCCTCTTAATCAGTTGTTTTGCCCATGCACACAAGTTTGCTGATTTGAACTTTATCACAATATGCAGCCATCTCAAATTCTGTTGGATATGGCGGACACAACTCATTTGTGGTTTTTTCTCCATTCAAGCCCTGATCGAGTTGTCTACATTTCTTGTAGATGAGAGAAATCTTTTCTTATTCAAGGCTTGGTTTAAAATTTCGTAGAGCTTGCCTCATCTTCTTTTTGCAAGTTTCAGCTTAGTTTTACCCAAAAAAGCTTCAGCTTTGCTCATCCAAAATTTATAAGTTGTTTCTAAGTAATAAATTTGGGTCTAACTCGAGTTTAAGGACTTACTCTTGTTTTGACCTAAATATGTGTTGGAACTTCTGAAGCTATTGGACATTAAATTAATAAGTTTTAAACTATGTAGTTGACAGAGGGATATTGTCCTTTGGATTCAAGAACCTTCCAGCAGCATTTGTGTTGCTATTTGGAGCATTTTTTCCCCATATACTTGGCCATGTATAATCTCTCTCTCTCTCTCTCTCTCTCTCTCTCTCTCTCTCTCTCTCTCTCTATGTGTACTAGATCGTGCACACAATTATTAAGGTTTTAACTTTTTTTTGAATCAATTACGATTTTAATTTGAAACAATCAAATAAATACAATAGCAACTACATACTTATAAATCAAACAATCTAAATATTTCTATTTTAAAATTTGTGTAATTTATAACAACTGTACACTACATTTTTTAGAATGAGTGTTAGTTTTTTTTTTTTTTTTTTTACGAACTCTTAATGCTTTGATGAATTACTTTCTTGTAAACTTCTACCCCTAAGGTTTAGAACTTTTCACATAAAGCTAATAAATTTTGATTAATTTTATTTGTTATAGTAGTGGTATAAATACATTTTGTGATATGTGGGTAAATATAACTAAAAAGTATCACGGACACTTATTAAATTATGAATAATATGAAAGAGAAACTTTTTTAAGTTATGGTGGTGATTTAATTATAAAAAATTGGTTAATCAAATTTAAGAAGTTAAGTTGTGGTGAGTAAATTAATGTAAATATGGATATTTATATCATTGTTAACCGATAAAAATAAAATGGGTTATAATGTTGACAATAAACATAACTAAAGATGATGTATTGAAACTAAAACATAAAAGAGAAGAAAATAAAAAGTCAGGGTTTGATAATTTTATGCAAGTTAGATTAAAATAAATCTTATATTAAATAAGACCTTAGTGCTTTTATACAATTTCATTTGAAAATTCAGATACTTGTCATCAACTAGTGAAAATAGATATATAAATAAAAATAAATTTAATTATTTTAATAATTTACCTTTAAATTTTAAAAGAAAGAAGGCTTGGATTTGTGTAATATTAATGAAGTTGTATTAATATGAATTACATATTAATAATGTTGGTATTTTTTTTAATTGTGAGAGTAAAGTTTTTTTTTTGCTATTAAAAGATAGGGGTGGGGGCAAAAGAGAGCATTCAGAGACCACACGATAGGTTCTCACTGGTGAGATCATAAGGTCCCTGATCGCACCTGTTACTCCTCTCAGAAATGAACATAGTTAGGCTAGTATAGCGGTCAACCATTAGTGAAGTACTATTAATATGAGTTCAACATTAAGTAGGCTAGTATTGTCTTTATATTTTGATTTAAGGGTAAAGTAGTCAATCAAAAGTATTTCTTGATAGTAGGTGACTTTAACATTTGGAAATTATTGGTTGGTGTACACGTGCATTGCACGTGAACTATTTCAAATTATAGTTTTGTTTTCCTATTCTAAGAGAAACAACTCCTAAGCTTTTATCAAAGTTAGCTTGATACCCTCAAACTTCCAGGAAAAAAATTAAATGTTTTGTTTCAATTTACTTTATTTCCTATCATTTAAAAAATAAAATGGGTTTCTAATTGAAATTAAGATGTTGTCAAGATTCTACCAGCAACCTTTGACAAATAATTTTTCTTCATTTTTTTCATAACCTTAATTAAGTGTAGTGCCGGCTGGCTGAAGTTATTTCATCCTCCCAATTTGTATAGATTTTTTTCTACTTCACCTTGAGGAGATGGTCTGTGAGTAAGGCTGAGACAAATAACAAACTAAATAAATTTACCTCTTAAAATTATGAGGAATGAGTGCATGAGCATATTTAATAGTTATGTTAGATTATACAAAACAATAGATCACTATATAAATTTTATGTTGTCTTATTATGGAGGATTTGCACATCTTAGTAAATAGCAATATTCTTGTATTTTGATAAATTATTTCTCTGTATTTTATGTTTGATCGTATATTCTTGAAAGCTTATATTGACCAAACCATTAAACTTGTCCAATTTTTTCAACATTTATCTAGTCAAAATCAATACAAAATAGTGAAATTAAACAAAACTATGGTCACATCTCATGTCAGATCATCGTCTTCATATGTTATCCACCGTCCATCACTTTTAGATGTTGAGTTTTTTTCATTGTCAAAATAAATAAATTTTAATTAGAACTAGAAAATAAATGGAACATACACATTCACATACATTATACAAAAACAGGCACAAAAAGTGAGATCAATTGGTTGGTGGAAAGAGAAATAAAGAAAATAATTCACATAATTATGGAACTTAACAACTATCGGAGCTTTCTGACTTTTGTGTTTCGATTGTTATAGGAGAAGAGAGAATGTGTATGAAATAAATAGATTCAAATTGGATACCGTATTAAGTTAGAATTTGAAAGACCAAAAAGTAAATGAAACGAAATTGAAGCTTTATGGTATGTGTTGGAGGAAGGATTAAAAATCCAATTATTTGAAGGTAAAAAAGTGACCTTTTATATATTATTATTTGAACAATCATGCACAACTGTATCAATGAATCAATAGGAAATTAAGTGGCAATGAAAATGGCTGTAAAAATAGAATGAAATAATATTTGTATTGCAAACTAAATAGTTGGTGAAAAGAATTTGAGAGAGAGAGAGAGAGTCATCAACTTGTGAAATAGTATACATTGTGTAGAAGTGGAAATATATGAAAGGTCATTTGAATATTTAATTAATATTTGATATTTAAATACATAAGGATATAATTGGTCTTAACCTTTTTAATAGGGATATAATAGTTAATTAAAAAAATTTCACTTAACTTTTTTTTATTAGTAGTATAGATAGATTAGTCATGTTTATTGGTTGCCTTATGATTTATATAAGCAACCAATAAGTGCCTTTGAGAGGGACGTTTTTGTGACAAATTCGTTGGGTCATGAACCCCAACCGGGGCACCCATAGTGGGTCAACCCAAATTAAAAAATGCTCAAAGGTGCATGTCTTTTGGAGGTCTACTTTACCACCTAAAATAAATGTCTGTTAAATATTAACAGACATGTTCCTGTAAGACGTGTCTCTTGATGATATCCATCGGTAGGAAGTTGTCTCTTGATGATATCCACTCAATCATCTCCCTGTAGGATGTGTCTCTTGATAAATTATTTCCCTATAGCCAAGTTCAATAGAAGTAATCTCTCAAATAATTAATTTGACTTACAAACTCTCCTACTCTATTTCTCTCTCTCCCGTCAAAAATTTTTTGTGTTGTAGAAATACAGTGTTGATTTATCTTGGGTAACAACATCATACTGCTTGAGCAATAAAAGAAAAGACAATTTTTTTGATTCTAAAGTATGTGGAACATCCTTTAAAAATTTTGTGATTAAAACGAACAATATATGTCTTTGATTCTACACTTCCACAATAATATACAATTCTCAATATTAGTATGAGAGCCAATTAATGTCATATTTTACTTTTGAAATTGTTTATCGAATGTCTTGAAATTTGGGTATGTAAAAGCATTTCTAACAGATGATTTAAAACACGCAAAATCTTCAAATTTTAGCTATTTAGCCCAAAAAATATATTCCAACAGATTATCTTCAAAACATTTAAAACAATATTTTGCTACAGTGATACTCTATATTTAGAGTATCACTATAGGGATATATAAAAAAAATTTATAATATTTTCTCTCTCTTCTTCTCCTTTCTTCTATTCTCTCTCTTTCTCCCTTTCACTATTTTCAAAAATAATAATACAAAAGGAATGAGAAATAATATTTAAAAGGAGTAGTTAAAAATATAGAAAATCTGTTGGAATCTGTATTGAAAAAGTGAATGAAAAGCAAAATTGTAAATTTTGTCCCGAAAATTAAGGCGGTGACTAGATTGGACTTGGCGTTGATAAATCTAATCATTCACATGCTACTATGATGTTGACGAAATTTATGAGGTGGAGTGTCCTCTGGTTAATTACAATAACTTTTGTTTTTGGCTTTAAGATTGGTTTATGTGGAAAGGTTGTATCTCCACCGGTGACATGGACAAGAGAAAAAGAAATGTACTATTTTTTCACATGCGTTACCAACTAAGTTTTTTTTTGGGTTCAAAATTGAAGACTTACACTACAAGTTTTAGAGTGTGGACCACTTTATTTAACAAATGCCCTTGGTTTTTTTTTTTTGTCTTTGATCCTTTGTTTTATTTTTGTGCCATGGGGTTTCATATATATATATATATATATATATATATATATATATATATATATGTTGATCTTAAAATACTAGTGAAAATATGGCAGAGACACTTTGTTTTTTTCAATCTCATTTGTCTTGTTGCTTATATTTTCCATTTCTGGGTGAGACTTTATTTTTTGTTAACAACCCATGTTCATGAGTCATGTCGTTATTAGAGGCATGAACCTATTAAATATATATGGATCTGTGATAGATTATTTATTTAAATAAAATAAATGCATAATGACATGTTTAGCTTATTAGTGTTTTATATAGAACAACTAGTTATTGTCTGTGTCTGAAGGCACAAAATAATAAAAAATGGTAAACAATAAACATATTTGTATTTATATCTAAAATTAAATCACAAATATAGAGAAGAGATAAAAGAATTTAAACATCGATTTTGTAGTGGAGATGAGAGGTGGTGGGCGGTAGTGGTGGTGGTAAGAGACGGTGATGGTTGTTGTGGTGGTGGCGGTGGCGACGACGATGGTGATGGCGGTGGTGGTGGTAGTAGTGGCGACGACGGCAACGACGACAATGGTGGTGGTGGTGG